GTCATTATGTCTATAATAGGGAAACCACAAAGGTAGTGGTGACAGAATAGGTTTCTTACTTGCCTGATTTATTTTTAATCTGCAAAGATGTTAATGATGAGGTTAACTCTGAGGTGAATTAACTCTGCTTGTACTATCTCTGACCAATTCAATGACCTTGCGGGTAACTTCTTTGCCCCAGATTCATAGGATCATAGAATCACAGAATCATAAAATGGTTTGGGTTAGAAGGGACCTTAAAGATCATCTAGTTCCAACCCCCAGGGACACCTTCCACTTAGACCAGGTTGCTCAAAGCCTCATCTAACCTGACCTTGAACACTTCCAGGGAGGGGGCATCCACAGGTTCTCTGGGCAACCTGTTCCAGTGTCTGACCACCCTCACAGTGAAGAACTTCTTCCTAATATCTAATCTAATCCTGCCCTCTTTCATCTTAAACCCGTTTCCCCTAGTTTTGTCATTAACTGCCCTTATGAAAAGTCCTTCCCCAGCTTTCTTGTAGCCCCTTCAGGTACTGGAAGGCCGCTGTAAGATCTCCCTGGAGCCTTCTCTTTTCCAGGCTGAACAGCCCCAACTCTCTCAGCCTGTCCTCACAGGAGAGGTGCTCCAGCCCTCGGATCATCCTCGTGGCCTCCTCTGGACTTGTTCTAACTGCTCCAGATCTCTCTTGTGTTGGGGGCTCCAGAACTGGACGCAGTACTCCAGGTGGGGCCTTACAACAGCAGAGTAGAGGGGGAGAATCACCTCCTTCGACTTCATATTCCCCAATTCCCTCGATTTCATATTCCCCAATATGAAATGAGAATAATGATGTTCAGAGCATCCTATAAAAGAAAGTGAGATTTCTGAGAGAAAATTACACCTCATGATTAAAGTTTTGATGGAAATGCTGGTCAGAAAACCCCCAAACAACCAAAAACCCCACCACAAGAAAGCAAAAGCTTGCCAAGGATCCCTGAATCACAAGCAGAGTTGAAGCAGAGTCTTGAACTACTCTTTTTCAAAAGAACATAACTGTGTAACTCATTTCTTTAATTTTTCATTAATTTCAGCTAAAACAGATTTCACAGGAAGTCACATAAAAGTTGTTCTTTAGTTCTACATGTGCATGGAGATGTGATTCACATGCAATGGGGATGCGTAAGAAGTCTGGTTCAGACTGTTTTTAAGGCTCCCCAGGCACATCTGGTTTTTGTCAATCAGTTGCTACCTCAAAATGTTTTCATGTTTCTAGATGGGAACAGCTTGAAGTGTTATAGAAAGTCGCTTGTGTGCCGTACAGACAACAATACTTAATTCTATAATTAGCTTCAGGCAGTGAGACAGCTGGAAAGATTTTTGTCCAATTTTAAAAGCTTATTTTGGCAGATTTTTATTAAAATTAAAGCTGCTCATTAAAATAACTTTTGTTTTTAACTCCCAGACCTTGTTTGCAGGAGTGCTTGTATACTTCTAAGAAACAGAAATAAAGAACATCCATTGTAAAACTTGATGATATTTAGAACAGAAAATACGTACAAGAGGCTGATGTCTCATGTATTTTAATGAGAAAGTAGACACAAAATGCTTTAAGGATTTGAATGCATCCCTAATGAGGATAATGTCCTGCCCCTAGGTCCTTGTGGTACAGAAGAGCTGGATTACAAAGAAGAAAAGTGAAAAATAATTTAAGGATGATGATGAGTTCAAGATACAAAACATTGTTAGTTCAGGGGGAATTTGAATTGAAGTCACAAACTGGAACACACATGGAGGTGTGAGAAAGCCCACTGAATCCTCTGCCTGGTTCCCAGAGAATGATTTTGAAGCAAAGGTAGAAATGGCTGGACAATTTGTTACCAAAAACCTTCTTGTTTTAAGGAAATCTTATTCTTTGTTGACACCCATGGTGCTTGGTGCACCACAGGCTGCAGACTCTTGGTGACATGGCGGTGCAGAGAATGGACAGCTGAGGAATCGCTGTGGGCATCCCCACAGTTAAGCTGGGGACATGGGAGTCCCAGGTGAACCTCACTTTCCTAGGGCAAGTGCATTTCAAATGTTTTTTAAACAAAACCAATTTCTAACCACTTTCCTTCGTGCCCCAGTGGAATTTCCCCTTTTTTGCTGCAGGAAATCTGTGATATTTATAGCTTTTTGCTGTAAAATTGAAATATTTCTCCCTCTACCTCAATTTCAGAGGTTCTTAGGAAAAAGGAATCTCAGCTCTTAGCTTCTGTAGCACAGGTCTGCTGGTGCATTTTTCTGAAACCTGTAAAACCTACAAGAGACAGTCCCATACCTTCTTCCTGCTGCCACTGACCTGGGCAGGTTCCTTGCTCTTGCAGCCGCTTACCACGAGTACTCACCTCTGCTTCAAATTTGGAGGCTACCTGGGCTTGGTCCTGTCACCAGTGCAACATGGGGAACATTTCACACACTGTGGCTGAGTTGTGTGCCTTTTATCACATGCAGTTGTCCTTGTGTAATTAGTCCTTTAGGTAGCTGGTGAAGCTGATGCCGAGGTACTAGCAAGTGTGTGACTGTGCAGCCAGTTGGGTAAGCAAGATGATCTGACCCGTTCAAAATACTGCTGAAGCATTTGTATTAGCATTGGTGAGGGCATGGTAAGTCTGATTGTGAAAGAGAGAAAGCACAGGATCATCCTTCCATGGTAAAGTGCAGCCTCACACTGGCATAAGCCAATCTTGAGTCCTGCTATGCAGGAAAGTATTAGTCCTCTCAAATAGAGAGGTCCTGTCCAAAAGATTATTAGTGTGTCATTTCTTGCATTTGGCACTCTTACTCTTGGCCTTTCCCTGGACACTTCTTCTTGTTCCTATGTGAAAATCAGTTAACATGACTGACACTAATTGTGAACTATGTTGATAATATTGTGGGAAACGTTGAGATCAGGTTTTGCAGTACTTTGCTGCAGAGTCATTTAGATGTGATGTGAACGTACCCGGTAGTGGGGAGGGAAGATGTCTGCCTTGATGGTGCTTTCCAGATAACCATAAACCAGCTGTAATAGACCACTGTCAAAGCAATGCTGCACAAGCCTAGCAGTGAATGGATGGTAAACATCACTGCTTAACTGTTCTCCCTGCTAATGTGCTTGCACTGGTCTTCATCTGCACCTGGAACCCACAGTTACCTCTGAGCCCATCTTCACATAGTTCAAATGAAGCCAGATGCAGGGTCACAGTCCAGAATTATCCCTGTTGGTGCCAAAAAGGTGAATGGGGATATTAACAGGTTTTTATTACACACTGTAGGTATTTGGAATCCTCTCCACAGCATGTCCCCCTCTGGACTGATAAAGGTGCCGCAGTCAGACGTCCATCTCCTTGTGCCTTAATAAAGGCCTCAGCTTGTGAAAAGTGGGTACAAAAAAAATACATTTTTAAGAGTCTGTAATATTGGGATTATTTCTTTCATTGAGCATGGAGTATTTTTTGACGTCCTTTATAGGAATACATTTTATAGAATAACAAAACTCTTTTTAGCTTAGTGTTACACATATTTCTATTTCAAAAGAAAAGGCTTAATTTTGTGAAACAAAGATTAGTATTATTATTGTGATGAGGTACACAACTATCTTTCAAAATCCTCATAACATTTTTCTGCTCAAAGTAGTTAGTCTTGTTTTCTGTAAAGTCTCCTCAAAGTGTAATGCTTCATTAAAATTAATAAGGCTGTGACCTACATAGTTTACAAAAGAATTAATGTAATAATACGAAAACCGTATTCTTACTGTGCTGTTAATTTCTATTTTTCCTTTTTATTATGAATGTTCATTTCTTCCTTTGAAGTATGTGTCAGGCTAATGCACAAACAGTGTTCACAGAACAAGAATGAAAAATGGGTGACTTTGTGGCCTTTTCTGGCAGAATGTGTTGATAGTCTCCTAACCCACCAGTCCTGACAGCTGATTAAACACTCTAGCATTATCTTTTGGAGAACTTTGTTGTTTTGGGGTTTTTTTTAATATATATTTTTGCTGCTCAGGATTCCACAAGGATCAGAATCTGATATCATTAAACCTACAAGGAAAAGCTCTGTCCAAATTTTGTGTACAGTTGAGGTCCAGATCTACTTGGTATTCAGATGATCCAATCAAAAGCAAATTCTAATCTTTGGTCCTTGAAGACAATCCTGTCATGTTTATGGACCTTTGTTCCATGAATACAATTTGGAGGCATTTAGGGACCTATGTTCTGTCTAGAAAAGGTTGCCTAAGCAAGAGCAGCAGAATATGGGTTAGGATACAAGCTAGAGACAGATGACCAGTTAGTAGTTACCACAGGCAGACATGGTAGCTTAACTACTGTTGTTGCCTAACTTCATCTGTTATAAACCTGCTATTGGCAGTTATCTGAGACTTGGTTGATGTCATTCACATAGACTGGTGGTTTGTAGTAAGGAGAAGTCCATCAGTGGAAATGGCTGGTGGTATGTTAAAAAAATACTTTACAGGTCACGTCCTCGTTCCCAGGCTTGGTGCAGGAAAAAGGCATTTTCTTTTAACAAAATTTGAAAGAAAGACTTCAAAGAAGTGTTTTCTTTGACAGAATGTAAAGAAGTCCTGTGCCCTTGAAGGGGATTGTTCGTGTCCTGCAATAGCTTCCAAAATTGGAGGCTATGTGTACAGTATTTGTCACAGTGTATGAGTTTCTTTTAATTGGCACATAACAAATGTAAAAGTAGAAAGTGATACAGCATAACAGAAGATAACATTAAAAAAAATCTTAGCAGTCTTGAACTATGTTACTTTGCTGGAAGTTTGAGTTATGCCTCATGGGCCTTTGCTGCATTTCACATTTTAAAAATTATTGCACCTTGCAAATGTTCCACAGAACTTCTTTTTAGTGGAGTAAAGAATAAGACATCACCGCAGTTTGAGCAGCCGTTAAAACTTGTATTCAGTCTATACTGACTTTATGTAGCTGATGGTACAGGTAATGGTGATTATATCCCAGTTTAATTTATTTAATAAAAATGTCTTTCCTTCTTTCAGTTGATCTTAAGAAAGGCTCATGTCCAAGTGCTGCAAAGTCAAATCTCCCCAAGCCCTGCCAGTCTGGACTTCGTCCTCCAGGTTATTCACGATTGCCAGCAGCTAAACTGGCTGCATTTGGTTTTGTCAGGAGCTCAAGTGTATCCTCTGTCTCCAGCAACCAGTCAAACGACAGTACTCAGAGTGATCAAAGCAGGACAACCAACCGTAAGTCCAAAAAGTGGCCTTCTTTCTCGGGGGATATTAAATAGATGTATTCCGGGATTGTCCAGACTGGAGTTTGCATCTAATTTAGGACTAATGTAATCTATGCCGCACTCACTAATCTCCTCTGTGCCACTGAGGTGTAGATTTGGCATCTTGATTTTCCAGTGTAATTTTAAAAAATATTAACAATAGATGAATAGATGCTGAATGCACATTACGTATAAAAGGGGGTGTTTTCCCTGCTGCAGAGAAAATCACATTAAGAGTGAAACTGAGGCATTTTTGTATTTTGTTTTTATTTAAGAATATCCCTTCTTACAAGATGAAGTCAGTAAATAATCACACTAAACTGTGGTAGGTAAGTACATTGCAGCTGTGTAGAACAGTTTAGACCAAAGATTATCTAAAATGAGCAACGCAGTCTTTCTCATCTACTTTTCTTCTGCCTCTTAATATGCAGTGTAATAAACTTAGTTTAGAAAATTAATCAAATAATGCTAGTGATATATGAAGGGGATCGGAACTGATATCATAGATATTGTCTCATCTACCAGACTTGGAAATATCCTGTGGATGAAATGTCATTTCAAATCCTATTTTCTGTATCAACTGTGAATTTTATTAAGTACAAAATAATGCCCACTGGATTGTGCAGTCCTTGGGAAGTGTGTGCATGCCCTGGGCTCAGAGCAGAAAGGGGGATTGAGGGATTTTCATGCTCATTTTTCTTTGAAGACTGGATTGAATCTGAACTGTGTCAATATCAAAGCAAGTGGTATCAGCCTGGGAGGGGTGCAGATAGGGAGGACTAGGTAATACGTAATTGCCAGAGCAGACAAGATTCTGCAGGCTCCTAAATGTTTCAGTCTTTGTATTAATTTGAAATGAATTAAAATAAATACAATTAAAATAGTTAAAAAACTCGAAGGATTTTCTCCGTCCCCCTTTACACGAGGTAATTGAAATGCCAAAGACTGATGTGTCCAGGGACTTCTACCTTTCCCAATGGCCCCAACCATACATTTGTATTCCATTTTACTGTTGGGTGATTGCTCTTTGCTGTTTATTTTGTAAGAAACTACATTTTAATGATAGGCAACCTCTTCTGCTTTGTGCTTTAGCCTACATTTATGCCTTTGGAAAGCTTTTCCTTTTATATGATGTTGTAATCTTTTTGTCTTTGGTTTCATAAAGCTTTTGTTAGGGACAGAATTACCTGATTTCTGATTAGCTCTAAGCTACATCTCTGCAAGAAATGTTGTCTAGCAATTTCAGGTGTGAATCTGAAGAAATTAACATCAGTAGGTACAACACTGTCCTTGAACACAGTGGATGCATACAGGTTTGTACAATTGAGAATTCTCTAAAAGGCTAAAAATTCCACTCCACTCTGTGGAATCTGAGTCAACTGATTTCCATTTGAAAACTATGGAAGAAACATTAGTAATCTCAGACCTAGAAAGTTACATTTGACTCTTTATTAATCTTAAAAGAAGCTGATTTCATTTGTATATTCTGGTATATTTTTATATTATATTTGTATATAAAGCCCATAAAAACTGAAAATCATATTCCAATCACCAGAAGGATGTGTATTTGGCACATACATTTTTTTCCAGTCACTTGGTTGAAAATGGTCACTCAAAATGGTCACCCTCTTTAATGTTAATATTAGGATTTTGTGACCAACTTGTGCATGTTGCAGGAATTTTTTTCTATGGACATTAAAATTACCTGGGGGAAGTGTTCTGCTTGTACAGATTTGTGTAGAGACAAACACAGCCTGTCACCTGATGAAAATTAGGACTTATAATTTCTGCTGTTGACAACAAGTTAGATAGTTCATCTAAGCAGTTGTCTAGTTTCCCTCCCTCTCCTTGGGAGCACGAAAGAATGAGCACCTCCCGATGGTCATCTCTCTGACGTGTTTCCTGTGACATGTACAGCTCTCTAGCACAGAAACCTTTTATTTGTATTTAATTCCAAATGGATAATGCTTCCTCCTCGACCAGGGAGAGAGAGGGAGAAGGTGTGTTGCCAAGGGGGTGAGCACACTCACTGTGTTCAGGGTGTCAGACCTCAGGTACATCAGCACATGAGGTGACCTTATGTCACCTGCTCTCTTTGGATTAAAGGCAACACAACTGAGTTGTGTTCATCACTCCTGATATGACAGATAAGTAGGGAAAAAAAAATGTTTCCTTACTGTTGAATTATTAACTTTCATATAAATGTTATCAGTGTGAAACTGTATCATCTTTTTCTATTTATATTCTATATGCCAGTAGGAGTTAAATTAGTTGCCCAGAACCCAGGGAGCACAAATTAGTTGCCTTCCATTCTACCGAAGCTTATTTAACACAGATCAGCAGAGCACTTCAACACACACAGAAAGTAACCAAGGAGTGGATGTAGGGGAGAAGTATTGGCTCAGGAATCTTAGCATGATATATTATTTCTTCCCTTCACTGTCTGCTGGTATAATGGTTTTATTTGAATTAAATAAATAGCTGATTCTGTAGTTACTACCTGAGATCATGTTTTTGACTAAATCAGGCTTCCTAGAGGGCAGGGTAAAGTCTTACTGTTAATTTCCTAGCTCAGTAGGGTAGAAAATGCAAAATTATCTAGCTTTAGAAATCTTCAAAGATGTATGATAACACAATCTCCTATTTAAGCAGCATCTCTGCATGTCAGGGAGGCAGAAGTAATTGAAAACATCTTACAAGTGTGCATATATTATAAATAGAGGGGCTGCCACTGTTGTAAAAGGAGGGGTCACCTCAAGATCTTGCATTTGACATTAAAAAAATCGCAATGTATTCTAAGTTGCTGAAAAGCAGATGGCTATGGCTGGATGAGAGGAAAACATAGATTTATTTTAGAGGCAGAGTGTTGTAGGGGAAGCAGTGATTCTTGTAGGGGTCCTAGTATGATCCTGTTCTTGCTTTTCTCTCCCATGCCAGATGTCTTATGGTGTTAGCTCTTCTCGAACCTGTGATAGTTACATTTCTTTTCAGGAATCCCAACTAGTGTCTCATTTTGGCATACTAATACTGATTAAATGCTGTCTAGAGTAAATCTCTGCTTGTTTAGAGTAAGGAGATGTGATGTTTGTGTTGCAGGGAAGTTTCTTAATGGAGCTGTGATGCAGCAGCTTTGTTCTTCACCAGATTTTTCCCCTTCCCTTGACCTCCCTGAAAGCAGTAAGCCTGGATGTGTGCTACGCTCCTCGGCTGACTTTCTGGCAATAGCTCACATATTCTGATTGAGTCAATTAAATGGATTTGTAGCGGTGGGACTGTACTCTTTTCCCGTGGTAGGATCAGGGCAGGCTGTGTAGCACTTGCTTGCTTGTTCGCTGATCTTTCCTGGAGTCCCATCCCTGGGGTGTGGGTATAAGCCAGGCTGCTGTTCACCGATAACGTGCCAACTTTGACAGCTGTGCCATCAGCTGCTAATCAGGATTAGTCAAATGGAGCTCTGCTTCTATGGGGTCCTGCCCAATTGTGTGCTGGGGCTGGAGGGGCAGCTTTGATAGCCAAACCACTCAGCATCTCGCCAGCTTCTGGGACAGGGAACTGACCTGAAAGCCAGGATCACTAGTCCATTTTGACCACTTAAAATCCATTTTCTGGTGCTTACATGTAACTTTTGCTTTGCACACAGGGAAGCCAGCGTCCATGAAGCTCATTCAGGATGATGGTGGCATATGAGGCAGCTTCTCTCCTGGCTGAAGGAAGTGCCTGGCTTCTTGCCTTGCTAAGGGATGCAATGGCAGAAGCCAAATACTGCTTCATTTTAAAGCTGAGTCCTAGGATGGATGAGGGAAGCCCACCACAGCTTACCACTGGCTGTCCTACCGCATTCAGAACAAGGTGGTTAAGGTAGTTCAGGGTGAGCTCTTTGTTCCATTGGTGAACAAGCGTATTTGTGTTTGAACAAAACAATTCAGAGAAGCAAAGGCAGAGTGAACTCGCTGTACCAGTGGAGAGGCTCCATCCTTTGTTGCTGCTAATGTTCCTCTCCACTCGGTGTGGACAGTGCAGCTCCCCCTCCCATTTTCACACCTCTCATCCCATGGCTTTCCACGTGGTAAGCTCTGTGCCAAGCTGCAGCAAGGCACAGGTGAGGTCTTCTGCTGGGGTAGAGCTACATGATCTGACACCACAATATGTGGGACAGCTGGGAACCTTGTTGAGTCTGTTTACACTCCAAACTGACTAGAACTGAAAAATTCAGATACTTCAATGTGTCTAAGAGGGGCATGAGTATTCTCTGCTAAATACAAGAAGAAGTGAATGACTAGCAAAGTCATGTTAAGGTTGAAACCATCATGATTTGGAGTGAAGTAAAACAATTGTGTCACCATAAAGAAAAAAAAAAAAACCTAAATAGCTAACTTACAACAAAATAACTAACTTTGCATATTTTCCCTTGGAATTTTAGATACACTATATTGAAGCTTCTCCTCTGTCTGCTGCAATAAAATTTGCCTAAGAGCCTGTGAATCTGAATTTCATGTCATACACCAAAGGCCCACAGTTGCAAGATGTTCCCAACATTATCTTGTGATTCTGCAGTGCAGTAACATGATGCCCAGGCTGTAGTTTCTTTTTTACTAGTTGAAGGGGCTTAGAGTTCTCTCACTTACTTGTATTTGCATTTCTAATGATTGGTTGAATATCCTGCTCACGTAATTAGTTTTATGTACTTCATCAGAACAGACTCTAACATGCTGTAAGTACCACATGGGAAACAGTTCATTAAGCACTGTGAAACACTTTGATGTGTGGAGGACTGGAAGAAAGACAGATTGTTTAGATTGAGTTGGGGTATGATAACTGCTATGAGTTTAGGAAATGGAAGAATATAGGTATAATATCAGGAAATACGTCGTAATCATGAGGTCTACTAGTCTGTTAAATAATCTTCCAACTCAAGTGATGAAATCCCTGTTGCTTAAGATTCTTAAAATAGAATAATAGCATGGTGTTAGA